GAACCGGGGCGGCGGGACCCCCCCCCTCGACGCTGGCCACGCTGCTGGGGCTGCAGCCCAGGGTAGGGTTGGCCACCTGGGCTGCCAGCACACATGGCCGGGTCACATCCAGCTTTTCCCCCACCAGTGCCCCCAAGTCCCTCTGGGCAGGGCTGCTCTCAATGCCTTCATCCCCCAGCCTGGATGGATACTGGGGGTTGCCCCAATTTGACTCACCTGGTCTGAAGATATGGCCACGCTAAGTGATCCAAACTGCTGTGACATAGGGAAGTTCATGCTTAAAAAAAAAAAAAAAAAAAAAAAGAAAAAAGAAAAGAAAGAAGAAAAGATGCCAGCCACCCCAGTTTGTCTTTGAAAAAAAAATCCCTACCCGAGCTAGCCAGGCTTGCAGGAATTAAATCTGATGGTGCGGTCAAAGCAGCACTGGCTATTGCCTCCAAGCTGGTAACAGGAGGGCCGAACTGATGCCAAAAATGCACTCCATGCCTGACTTCTCTACACATAGCACTAGTAACACGCAATAATTAAGCATTACTTCATATATTTTAGCTTAATAATGATGGCAGTATAAAAAGTCAAAAAATTAGGTTTTTATTGTTAAAACAGAAAGCACAGTATATTATTTAAAGAGTACTTATACAGAAATAATCTGCAAACGAGTTTGGCTGAAAGCCTTGGATCGATGCACTACACTGACTGCGAAAGAAGTCAATTCATAGCGGACAGAGCTACTTCAACAACCCACTGCCCCCTCTTTTGCACGCTTTAAAACCAAAACCCGAGATATTCCCACAAGCATTCCGATCAGCGTAATTACAAGTGACCTGAGTTCTTAGCTTTGTTCTATGCTGTCAGAAAATCAGGGCCTGGATTACACAGCAGTTATGAACACATAGTGTGTACCAGAAGCGGAGGTAATAATACTTGCATATTGAGCATTTAATTTCTTTTTCCCTCTCCTCATCAACAGTCTCAAAAGGAAATGAGAAGATGAAAATTCTTCTAAGTAAAGAAAAAAAAAAGTTTCCTCCTCCAACAATCTGGTATGAACACACAGGTTGAAAATTCAAGATTAGCACCTCTAAAATATTAACAGTGGCAGCCAGACAGTACACTGGATAGCATTATGCCTTATTTTCTCTCCCTGATCTGCTGGACTTCAAAACCAGCATCAGAAAACCGAACACATTCTGCTCAGGTTGGCACGATCCCAGGACGACAAACACACCCGGACAAATAGGAAACAGCGCGCGGCTCGGGGCATTATCCAAAGGTCATATTTGTTCTGATGCAGTGAAAATGAGTCCGAGTCACAGCAGTTTCTCCTGTGTGAAGGTGTCTGTTCGGGGTTCTGGTTACTCATAGAATCATTTAGGTTGGGAGAGACCTTTAAGATCACCCAGCCCAACCGTTCCCCTAACCCTACCATCCCACCACTAAACCCTGGCCCTAAGCACCTCGGGCTGCCTGGCTTTTAAATCCCCCCAGGGGTGGGGACTCGACCCCGGCCCTGGGCAGCACCTTCCAGT